AAAAAAAACTGTCGTCAATTCAGTGTATCAATAATGGACTAACAATTAGTATGAAAATCGTCAGTCAGCATTTGACTCAATGATAAATTGTATTTGCTGTCAAGGTCATTGTTTCGACCATAGGACTTATGATGACTTTAAACGAGCCTGCTGAAACTTCCTTGTTTCATCAACTTGTTTGTCAATAATTTACCTCGTTATAGAAAATGTTCATACGTATAGCATTTTTTTGCGTATCGAATCAACTGAGATATGTTAACTCCGTATGCAGGCGATGAAGGTATATTGCTGCATAATGTATCGCTGTGAGAATGTTTTTGAAGTTTGGAAATCTCATATATGCAGCGTAGATAGGATATTTTTCAAAAATGTAATGTGATTTTGAAGAACAATATCTTTAGAAAACAAAAAGTCCAAAAGTAGGACTGAAACTAAATTATTTCAAATTCAGTTATAATAATTAGCCTTACAAATAATTACAAATAATTTAAACGCTTTAAGAAAATAGAATAATGCTTTTCTTTTTTCAAAAACGACAAATAACTTTAAATAATTTCAGATAAACTTTAAGTGTTTAAGAGATGGTAAATTATTCTTGTGCACAATTTGAAAGAATTTAATGTTTTAATTATATATCCACATATTTCAACACCAAACTATAATTAGTGAGATAAACTTCAGTAAGATTCTTTGATATTTAGAAAATTGGGTGATGGTAGATGTATCGTGTCTAAACTCGTTATTTTTTTATTCATAAAAAATTGTTTTCAAAACTATTTAGTACTATCAACTTAATATGTATAACACTTTGCTTTCTTAATAGCAGATTTAAGTTTTTCTGACTAGGTCAACTTATTCTCTCTTTAAATTCAATTCTTACATTAAAGAAATGAAAAAAAATATTATCAGATTTAAAGAATCAAAAGAGGTTTTTTTTTTCTAATTTAATTGTATCAAATTTATTGCCATTATTTGTTAACATTTATTTACCATTCAAGTAGTCGACAGCCTGGCGCAGTGGTTAGAGCGTGTGCTCTAGAGTCGCCAAGTAAGAAGTCAATCCTTGCGTCGCCGGTTCGAATCCCATTGTGGGACGTGGAGATCGGTCCTTCGGATGAGACCGTATAAAGCAAGGTCCTATGTCGCAGTAGGTGCTCGGTACGAAAAAGACCCCTCCCTGCTCAATGGCCCTAAGTGCCGATCGAGTATAGGAAAAAAATTGCAGCACTCCACCGGCAAGTGGTAGCGTCTTTATAAGAGCGAAAAATTCTCGAGAGGGTCATTAAACAATGTACAGTTCATCAATCAGCCTTACAAGTAATATATATATATTCATTTGAAAGTATGAATCTTGAATCATACGCTACTTACATTTATTTCATTTTATATTAAAAAAAGGGATTTGTAAAGCTGGAACAAGTGACCATTTTTTTTTACTCAACACAATATATGTACATTTATTATGTTTTATGGTATACAAAATTGAACATTTATTGTGTAACATGCAAATTATCATTCTTTTGTGTTCGGCGAGGGAGGGGTTAATTTGCTTGCTAAACACTTGTAATAAAAAATACAGTTATATGTATCTTATTCACGCTTAAAATATAATATAAGAGAGCATATAAAAACAGAAACAATAAAATGCACTTATCCTTTACATTTATCACACTTCACAAGAAAAGCATTTATCAGATTGAGCTGTATTTTGTATTAAAAAAGAAAATTATGATAGTTATCTACAAAAAACCTTTTTTTGAGTGAAGGAGAACATGGTCCCATGGAAATGTCTGGTTTTTAGTAAGTAGACACGTGTAACTGACATGTTCAGCCATCAATTCACTGACCAATTCTTTAATAAATACCGAGGTTTTCCGATTTCTGTACAGACCCCTTGTCCACTCCACTGATTAAAGGTAAGGGAATTATTTTAGGTTTTATTCCGAGTATAAGGTAAAAAGATGTAAATTACTAGTATATCTTTGTTAATAACCAAACTTTGTTTAATGCTGCTTTTGTTGTGAACATTACTATTTCTTAACAATATTTACATTCAACGAAGTATCTGGCATCTTTCAACTTGTAGTATACCTTATATTATATGTGCTTCAAACTGCATGTTCTCTAAAAAATTGAGCTTTAAATGAGAAATGGTAAGCTGACCTTACCAGGGCATTAATGACTTAATGACAATATTAGGAACAACATAATTATTAAATTATATAATAAACCTGCAGTTTTTAAATCCTGAAATATGCAGGCACAAAATTAAGAATACCTTTGAATGGTGTGTCTTCGGAATTTTTCAACTGCAATGTCGGGGTTAGACAAGGTGAAACTCTTTCACCTTTTTTATTTTCATTGTATATCAATGACTTAGAAAATTATCTTACAGAAAGGAATGTTAACGGCATAGAGAATTTTTCTAAAGAGACTGAGGATGACCTTACCATTTTAATCAAACTGTTTATATTATTTTATACCGATGAGACGGTTATTTTGTCTGAAACCGCAAATGATTTACAGCATGCATTAAAAGATTTTTCTGTATATTGCAAAACATGTAAATTCCACGTTAATGTTAATAAAACAAAAATTTTCATTTTTTTAACATACATTTTATACCAAGTTTAAAAAATTAATTTAGAAATGTCTTTTCAAAAGGCAATGTAACAAGAAAAATTTTAAATAACTATCAACGCCTTTGATAAAAAGTTTTATTAGATGGACAGATGGAACTTTTAATATTGAAATATAAAAAAAAATGAAAGAGTGTGTAATTTATGTAATAATAATCAGATAAGAGACAATTTCATTACTTACTGGAATGTAATGCATTATTTGTGATATATTAACAAGAATTTTTACAAAGTTTGAATGTGATAAATACTTAACTATTTTACCAAGAAAATTAATTTAAAAATATCTTTTCAAAATTCGGAATAAGAAATCAACGTCTTCCAAAAGAGATGGGTAGATGGAATGATATTGAAAAAAAATGAAAGAGTGTGTAATTTATGTAATAATAATCAGATAGGAGACGATTTCATTACTTACTGGAATGTAATGTATTTGGTATTCGAAAAGATTTTTTGTTGCAGAAATACTATGTACATCCAAATATAAAATTCTGTAATTTAATGACAAGTGCTGATCCAGTATTCTTACGAAAAGTCTGTATTTTTATCACCAAAATTTTTGAAACTGTCTGTGCTCCTCTCCTGTAATTTCTGCTCGTCCATAATTATTATAAATATGTATATATGTTCCTCTTGCATACATATGGTTTTTGAGAGAATAAATGAATGAGCTTCGTCTCTTACCAATGCCTTATATGCCGGTATATGATTTAGTTATGTATTCTTAAAAACAGTAGAAAATATATTTCCTTACTCAGCCCAGCACCATTAAGAGATAAAAAATTATATACATTTATGAAATAAGGATGTAAGGAAAAAGATTGCATTTTTGTATAAATTTTGTGTTAGATTCCGTAATTCCTGCGTTTAATTTTCATAGTCTTCTTATTCATCTGTTCATATTAGATTGATTGTAAATTGTTTGTCCTCCAGTTAGAGAATTCTTCACCTAAATGGAGACGTCAACAGATGCATATATCAGTAAATCGAGAAGAAACAGTGTATGTTTAATTTGAAATTTTTCTTGACATTTCGCGGAGGATTCTTGATTTCTAGGATCTATTCAAAACTTGGAAACAATAAAAAAAATGAACAACCTCGTAAAAATTAGTAGTATATTAGTTTCATAGTATGCAAAATATTAGGATTCATATCAGAGGTATAATTGACAAAAAAATAAATACATTTAATTTCTGTTAATTTTTGATAATCTTGATTGATATGCAGAACTCTCGTGATGTATAATTGCAAAAATCTTATGATTTATTGGCAAAATCTTGTAACTCACATTTTGCATACCTACATATCTTTTTTTGATATAAAAATCAACTTTTCTGATTCAATCACAAGATCTTCATGTATTAATCACAATCTGAATCATAAGTTTAAAATGAAAAACAAACGCTTTCAAAACCTGTATCATATCAAATGTTTGCAACACAATCCAATGATAACTGTATATAAACCATTTGAATAGGAAAAAAAAATCAAATGTTTACGTTTATGTTTATATCAAGTTTACGAATATGAACAATTTTTCAAAATTGTTTGACATTTCCTATGCCAATATATACTGTATCTATATTAGTACTTTGAAAAAAAGAGAGACAAATACTCCGGCACTTATTAGGAGAATATGCTGAAATCAATTGTGCCTTCATTATAAATTCGTATTCATCGTAAAGTTAGGATATTTGAAGCCATAAGTACATACATTTTTTCTTAAATATACAATTTGTTTTGATTTGTGAACAATTTATGCCATTCTATATAAGGTCAAGATAGGACAAGACTCCTTTTTGGCCCCTGCTTTGTGGTGTCTTTGGGGCGATGCAATAGTTCAAGATTACAAACCCTTTGCTATTCCTCTTACAAAATGAGAACTGATTCTTACCTATGGGGTACACAAAGGTCACAAGAAGGTCAAGAAATATGACAATTTTCGATTTTCTCTCTCTCTCTTTTATGGAAATTTTGTTACAAAAAAATACAAAGCACACAGATTTGCCTATCTATAAATTTTATATATTAGATACACTTGTACCAGATGCTTCATTGTCTTGTGTTTATAATGTCAGATAAACAAGACTGTGCTCAATGCTTCCCAAAGTGAAAAGTATTTCATATTTTGACAAACTGGAATCAGATTTGAGAAAAAAACATGGAAAATTTCCCATTTTGGAGCGTTTGTGACTTTTCTGTACTTTTTGAATCAAAATTATTGTTGGTTTTAAAATAAGCAACATGTCATGATCTTAACTTCAAACTATCACGTATAACTGTGTTTTAATTTTTATAGCAAATAAGGGCCATATTTAGCTGTTACCTGACTTTGTCCTTTATTTTTTTTTCAGTTAGACCATGAAGACCTTTGCCGTTTTTTCTGCTCTCCTGGTAGCGGTATCCGCCACCTATTATGGTGGTGGAATAGGAGGCGGCATCGGTGTGCCATACGGGGGTGGTGGATATGGTAGTATTGGTGGAGGATACGGTGGATATGGCGGACTAGGTGGTGGATATGGCGGACTGGGAGGAGGATTTGGTGGGCCTGGTGGATACGGTGGTTATGGTGGATTAGGAGGTGGATATGGTGGATTAGGAGGCGGATATGGTGGATTAGGAGGTGGATATGGTGGATTAGGAGGCGGATATGGTGGATTAGGAGGCGGATATGGAGGACTAGGAGGTGGATATGGTGGATATGGAGGATATGGTGGATATGGAGGATACGGTGGTAGAGGATTTATTGGCGGTGGAAGGAGCGGATTCATCGGGGGCGGTGCTGGAATCATTGGTGGAGGAAGAGGAGGTATTCTTTAAGCTTTGGTATTTTATATATGTAGTGACGTTTTTGATTATAAATTTTAGCATTGTTTAGACTGCTGTAAAACCTCAATGCCCTGTTTAGTGTATAATTTGATTTTTAACTCAGTTATTAAAGTTTTCAAATCCGTAGGAGAATTAAACTGAAACAATTTTTATTATAAATCTTTATTTCTTAGGTTTCATCGGAGGCAGCTATGGAAAGCCACGTAAGTAATATGGCTCTCTTGAAACAGGAAAGAAAATTGAGCAATAAATTAGTTTTATAAATATACAGTTCATTTCAAAACGTTTAATAGCATATGATTCTTGAAATATAAGTTTTAAATTATTCAATATTATAATATTCTTTTTACAAAATACAATAGTATTGTTTTTTCCTTGTAGAATATTAATCTCACAGATCCAAGAAATTAAGAAGCCAGAACAACTTAGATTATTTATTATATATATTTAATAAATAAAGTGTTTGCAAATTTATACATGTATTTTTTTTATTTAATGACAAAAATAAAATATTACTTTAGGAATGTTTTTTTAAGTGGTGTTGTGTGTCACGTAGACATTATTGGTGTGTGATTCACACACCAATAATTCACACTAAACTGAAAAACATTCCTTATACATGTATATTTAAATTTTCCATGTCTTAAAGTATCAAAAATATGCTCAATATTTGAATTTCTTGATGCCCTATTTTGTTGCATTTTTCTAACGTGCCTGCAGCGCACGTTTCTCCGTGTCTATTTCTATGCGTGAGTATACACAAAAATGGTATTCAAATCAATTTCACTGCTGGCTCACTAGGAAAACACAGAAAATGTAAATATAAAGATGTAAAGTTATGTAGAAATTTGAATATACATATGTGCACGATTAAATCATTTTTTGTGAGTGCATGACATCAGATCCCACATCCCAACACAAGACGACGTACGAATAGGTAGCAATTGTCCACTTTCCAAGCCAAGACTTTGTAAAACCTCAATGCCCTGTTTAGTGTATAATTTGATTTTTAACTCAGTTTTAACTAAAGTATTTTATACATATGTATATTCAAATTTCTACATAACTTTACATCTTTATGATATTCAATTCCTATACAGCTGAAATTGATTTGAATACCATTTGTGTATACTCACGCGTAGAAATATACACTGAGAAACGTGCGGCAGACGTGGCAGAAAAATGCAAAAATGTGCATCAAGAAATTCAAATACCGTATATTTTTCATACTTTGTCAGGTCCTCTTGCGTCGGCACACGCCGGATGGAAACTGTATCTTACACATTTTTGTTGGCTTGTCAATCAACTGCGACCTTCGTCGTCCTACATATACTTTGAAAACAATGTCACGGGTCTGCATGTTTAATGAATAGAGCGGTGTCTTTATGCCATTCAAACATGAGAATATTTTGTTGAGATATTAAAATATTCCATAAAAGTTAATTATCGGTAATACTTAATAACAGTCGATTTTATCTTGCCAAGTCAAAGATTGGAAAAAACTAAAAAAAATTTAAACACATTTACATGCATCAACGTATATTCCCTTTAAAAACATGTACATGACTCTCATTAAAGAGAGATCAATCTTTTTTCCTAGGTGTGGGGTGGAGGGTCCAAGGTCTTTTTTTGTTTCTTCTGCATGCATAGTAAGTTTGTAACTCTAAAGTTCTATAAAGTCAATGGAAGATGACTTACAACATGAATCTGGAATTATTAAAATTGAACTTTTGGATTGAACCTTGAACATATACTCGAGTAATACATTTAAGTGAAACAAGTTAATGATTTTTAAAATTGATCATATCCAATATAAACTAACCAGAGTGAATTTTGCATTTTTAAATCTTTATTTCAAATAATGGAACACATTATCTTGGGGAGAGGGGTTATATGCGATACATTTTTTTAAATATTCGATAGAAGCAACCAATTCTCGACTTGGAGGTATATGTTTTGGGGGTTTATTAAAGGACGTTGCACTATCTGATGTGTGGATATTAAATTTAAATATATTTCATGGAAAACAATACATTTATGATACAGCAGTAAAACGTTGCACATAATGAAACAGAACAGAAGCCAAACGTAACAAATACAGATGCCAATAGTCACACACACAGCAGCCATTATTGCGATGTTATGAGAAAACTTTATATTGCATTAAAATTTTTAATCTTGTGAAACATTAAAGACATGGGGAATCATAAATAATTCATACAGTATATACTCATATCACTTTTAACACAAATTATTATTTTTCTTTAGTGTTCCAACTATCTGATTGGCTCAAACTGGATCACATGATCAGGTATAAAAAAGTGTTACAGACTGGATGTTTCTATTAAATTTATAAACCTGCTGTTTCTAAAATTGAAAACGTTCTTCTGTGAAGCAACAATAGTGCTGAAGTCACAATAGTCTTTATAGACTGGATGTTTCTAAAAACAGATACTGCAGCTGGTCTTCATTATTGTGACGTCATAATGCAAATGACATAACAATTATATAAGGTACGTATTTAATCAAACTTTTAGACATTTCTTATTTATTGATAAAAAATAATAAAACAATTGTAGCCTTTTGATGTAAATCCTCGATATATAGTAGAGAAAGCATATTGACCTCGCACTTCGTGCTCCGAAACCAAGATTTTCTCGACCTCATCAAAAGGCACTTTAATTGTATAATATACCAGAGTTATAGGTATGAGAAAAAAAACTAGCTTCAGTGAACTTTTAAAATTACACTGGAGGACATAAAAAGAAAAATAAAATTTCTAAGATCAATATTACTAGTAAGCCAATTAATTATTCAATAAATATAGAATATCACACTGCTGTTTTGAACTCGGCCCTGGTATCAGCCCGAGCGGTTGGTATCGGTCCAAGCCCGTAGGGCGCGGGCCGAGACTACCCGAGGGCTGATACCAGGGACGAGATCAAAACAGTGGTGTGATGTTGTTTATATCATATACCTAAAACCAAAAAAGAATAAATATTTAGATATTCTTCGATCAAAAAGTTTATATGATATTTTGTCGTAACAAAATTAGAGTTATCTTTCTTTATTTCGATGTTCCTGGAGATGTTGCTTGACGGTGAATAATCATAAACATGATAAAGAGAAAGATTTGCCTGGTCTGGTCATTAAAAAGAATAGTCCTGGTGTGTTGAAACATTTCATTTCGAAGCACATTAGATAACAAAGACTTAAGGTAGGATTCTTCTCTGGTTTCTGACTAGATGAAACATAAAAAGTATATTTGCTTATATGTCTTATATATTGAGGTGTAACGAATTTAAAAGACCATATTATCAATTGTACAACTTTAGAAATGGTAAACTGCGTTTGAAAAGTAGCAGGGACTATATTTTTAATGTTGTATGAAAATATTTTGCCTCTCAAAATTATAATAGAACAATGAATTTAGTTATAATTTTTACACAATTAAAGATTAGGAGAAATTTTCAAATGTAAGTTAAATTCATAATGAGGGAGTAAACTTTCAAAATATATCAAATAAATATGATTTTTCAAACAAACTAGAACTTTAATAGCTTTTAAACGCTTCCTATCAAAGTGCAGATTTTAGCCAAAATTCCATAAAAAGCATTTTTTCTCTAGTAAACGAACAAAACTTTTTGTTTTTGTATCATTTTGTACATTTATAAGACTACTTTATTATATGTGAAAATAAGAAAAAGTTAAATATAGGAAGCATATGAAAATAACTAATATATCCTAAAAAATTAAGAAAAACTTTTAGCCAATATCCAGCTAAGTTAAATTATTCATGTAAATTTGGTAATATCATGCTATAGACCTAATATAGTAATATGTTTTTATGCAAAAAGAAGAATCATTAAACTTTTGAATTAGAAGTAGGTATCACATGATTGGCAACAGTTATTTTTTATTCTTAATGTCAAGGAAAAAGATAATGACCTTGACCTGACCTTGCCTCTAATAAAAGACGGTCAAATTTAATTTCACTGACACTATCACTTACTGATGTTGTCTTCTTGATTCTGTGAAAATTTCATTAGTCTTTAAATATTAGAAATATGAGAAGAATCCTACCTTAAAAGGTCCCAAACTTAAAAATACTCTACTTTCACTTTGGATCGAACCGGGGTTACAATTTCGTCAACGAATCGTTACAATCTAAGATGTATAGTAACTGCTTGTTTTGTTTACAATATATATTAAATTAAAAATGGCACATTACATGAATACTTTGTATTGTCTTACTGTCAAAGTAAATAAACCTCCATTTTTTTTTTTCAAAACATGATTTGTTGCTGTCCTAGAAGTAAACAAGAGTTACCTCTCTTACGTCACAAGTGCTATCATCTGGCGCACTTTTTAAAAACAATTTTCTCAAAATTCTAGTATAAATAAATAATTTTTAAAAATTCTGATTAAATTTTACAATATATAATTGTTTGTCTTTAATACTTAAATATGAATTTTACTCTTAATTCACATAAATTAAACAGATATAATGGGTTGAAAAATATAAGGAATTAAAGACAGAGAAATCTCAGCCCCGAGGGCGAGACAGCCCTAGTTCCAAGGAACTGTCTCACCTAGTCCAAAACACATCAGGGCTGATACACTACTACGCGCGCGCGCGCGCGCGCGCGCGCGCGCGCGCGCGCGCGCGCGCGCGCGCGCGCGCGCGCGCGCGCGCGCGCGCGCGCGCGCGCGCGCGCGCGCGCGCGCGCGCGCGCGCGCGCGCGCGCGCGCGCGCGCGCGCGCGCGCGCGCGCGCGCGCGCGCGCGCGCGCGCGCGCGCGCGCGCGCGCGCGCGCGCGCGCGCGCGCGCGCGCGCGCGCGCGCGCGCGCGCGCGCGCGCGCGCGCGCGCGCGCGCGCGCGCGCGCGCGCGCGCGCGCGCGCGCGCGCGCGCGCGCGCGCGCGCGCGCGCGCGCGCGCGCGCGCGCGCGCGCGCCGCGCGCGCGCGCGCGCGCGCGCGCGCGCGCGCGCGCGCGCGCGCGCGCGCGCGCGCGCGCGCGCGCGCGCGCGCGCGCGCGCGCGCGCGCGCGCGCGCGCGCGCGCGCGCGCGCGCGCGCGCGCGCGCGCGCGCGCGCGCGCGCGCGCGCGCGCGCGCGCGCGCGCGCGCGCGCGCGCGCGCGCGCGCGCGGCACATGTATATGATACTACAGGCACGTAGCATCGTTTTTGAAAGTGCCACGCAGAGAAAATTTTTTTTTACTTACCAGTTGACAAGCAAAAAAAAAAAAAAAAAAAAAGTTAAAATGTCCATTTCCAAATTCACGAAAATACATATTTGGTGGGGGGGGGGGGGGGGGGGGGCATTCCTGTACTTATAAAGATGCAAATGAATGATAACTGAAAGGTTACTAAAATATATATTGGAGAAATT